ACAGACTTAAATGCAGTATGATCTTATGTCGGACATCATAAACTATTTAATTTCTAAGTAAGGTTGTCAGAATTTCCTTTTTACATTTTATTTTAATGCTGAAATATTCGTGTGTGAATATAAGAGTTATTCCTGTGCAATAATTCACACCAATAACATAAACAAATTGTATTATAAGGCTTGCGTATACAATCGATTGCCACCGATACCTGTGTTACACCATGAAATGTCACAATTTTACCATGACACCGCTTCCAATATGGCCGCTTTCAATAATTTTCAACGATTTAAAAAAATAAAGTGGAATATTTAGACTTCTGTTTGACTTTGAAGTATGATAATTTGGAACCTTACATAATCAAAGCACAGAAGGCGCTGAATTTGTTTGGGTCTCAGAATGTCAGAAAGGTGAAGGTTGTGAGATGATAAACCAGTTTGTTTTTGTAAAGTGCCACCAATGCTTTCCAGAGTTTTAATTGTAGTAAATTGGCTATAAGACTAATTTAAACACTGATATTCAATCCAATGTTTATTTAACTTAAACAATTAGAAAAAAATGAGTGGCCTTAACTGGGATTTGAACTCCAGACCTCTCGCTTCCTAAGCGAGCGCGCAAACCCCTCGGCAACGGTGAAGTTATTTGTTAACAGCCTTCATAAAACTATATTATTCTATTTTAGGGTTTGTAACGACGCTAACTGTTGTTTAACACAGATGTAAATAATCATGGAGCTTACTATAAGCATGTATATTTATAAAGAATAAAACAATATTAGAAATCTTCGACCATTCGGGAATTATTTTGCTTGAAAATTAATGCGCCTGTCATTTGACCATCTTTACGCAATGATCTCCCCTGAATTTTTCGGCGTTAGTTTACATATAAAGGGAAGTAACCGCTTCAAAAAAGCGGACTACTTTCGGCACTTGCAATTAACAGCATTAGAGTCTGAAATTTCGCTACCATTATTTGTTTGGTCTGACGACCCAAACAAATAAAAAACGGTCCTCTTTCAGGTAATGTAGGCTGTTTCTTTAAAACTTTTCTAGTTTTCGCTCCCAACAACTTCTAATTGGGAAGCGTCCGTGCATAAAAATGCAGTTCGTGGTTGGACTTGGAAAAAAGACAGCGCCCGTCCAGAATTATCTCGGTGTCTCTTTGACAAGTCTAATTAGTTGGACTGATAGCAACCATGCGGTCTCACTAATTACCGACAAGAACCGTCAGTAAAAATGGAAAAATACGAATTAATTTCACTACTTCATCATTTTATAATCACAATTCCTAATATTTTTACATGAAAAACATAATAAATTCGTTCTGACCCATGTTTATAGGCAAATATCTATAGCGACAATATTCGTGGTATACTTGATTTAAATCTAATTCCCGTGACATCAGTTCCGAGGTCATAAACAAGTTCATCCTACGTAAAAGTTATATTTTGTACATTTGTTTAATGATGATATGTAATTAGTGTGGTGACAATTAACATTTGAACCGATTTTAACTCTACTATCAAAATTTTCGATTGTAATAAAAATGGAAGCGTAAACCATGTGTTAATTTTGACATATTCCGCGAAAATAACATAACCGGATATAGAATTTATTGCATGTCGGGATTAGTATTGGTTAGTTTAACCAGCGGTTAATTTTAACCATTTTGGTTTGTTAACCTTTTGGTTATCTCGGTTTATACAAGTGACTAACCAAATTGGTTAGTTAACCAAAGTTGGTTAAATTTAACCCACGGTTAGCGTTTAACCCAGGGTTAATTTAACCAACGTTTATACAATTGGGTGCAGAGATATATTACGGTAATTCACTGGAAAGTATGAAATAATGGTGATTATCATTGGGTAGTCACCGCCTTTCGTCGGTCAAGTTTTAAATAGATATTTTGGTTCAAGATTATGATGCATCAACTATCCCATCCCAAGGGTAAAATATGTTTTCTAGGATAAAAACAGAGACTTAAAGCACATACATGTTTTTACACAAATTATAAACAGATAAAAACGTATTTAATGAGACAAAAGAGAACATACAATGAGACGGAGTAGCAGATATAAAACAAAAGAGCAGATATAATGAGACAAAAAGCCGAAAGTGTCTAAGAATCTGCTCGAGGCGTCAAAAATAGTTGATATGCTGTAAAAATATATAAATAAGTTGGATCTTATAACTGATATTTATACGTGCATTGCTTTTAGGCGATAAGACTGGCTTCAAACGAAGAAGCCTGCATTTTACCTCTACGGTCATAGATATGTTAGGTTAATGTACGTATAAACTCTTCTTGTTCCGCTCCTGAAATATCTAACATATCAAAACTCTCCGTGTATGCCTTATATGTAATAGTTACCGTACGAGGAATAGGTCTGCATAGTATTTACAGACCCGGGTGACGATTTGAAGACCGAGAGAGCGTAGCGATCGAGGTTTTTAAAAGGCCACCGGGTCTGTAAATACTATGCAGACCTATTCCGAGTGCGGTAACTATCTTACCTACATGCTCTTTTGTTTTTCTATCCATACATCAGTTTTTAGCTCAGTATTTATTAATATTACTTACAAGAAACAGAGTTTTTTGTATTTTCTGCAAAAAATAGCTTTTGTAGGCACTAAAACAGACTTTAAAAAGGATTTTGCCATTCATTAAATGTGCATAAAACTTTGCAACAGAATGTTTTTGGTCATCAGAAATTTAGCCCATTCAAGGTAAATTTTCTTATTGTTATAATTTTTATTTTTGTTTAAAATAGTCTTTAAAATATAGAACTGGAAGTGTACTTGCAAATGGCTCATCATATAACAATGTTAGCTTTGTTGTTATATGAATTTTGGCCTACTTTCACTTTGGACAGACTTTGTGAGAACAAACATGGCCGACAAAGCAGAATCACCTTAATTAGCATCATCCGTTATTCATATGTTTGATAAGACCGCAAGTAAGCACGCAGTCTAGAGTGGAAGCGCAAGTCGAATTCTTGCGAAGAACGGGCGAGTACTGGTATACAAAATCCAAATGGTAATATAAAAATTTGGGGGAAAAAAACGAAAAAAAAGCAGTCTTATAACTATACTCTCACTGAAAGTAATATTTTGGGAAAGAAAGATACAGAAGATGACTTTGATTCGATATGCACCAATTGTCGTATATATCCCATATTGCAGAATTGTTAAAATAATGCAGGATTGTGCAAAATAAGACATAGTTGTGGTAATAAATGCCGAAAACTAGTATCTTATAAAGTTTTATTATATGATCTAAAAATAGCTGCAATCTCATTGGTCCAAACTGTAGTCAACATAACTTTTTATAAAATCATATTCACTGGGTGTAGTATCATATTAACTGGCTGAATTGGATTTTCCAAGTCTAAATATAGATTGAGACTCATATTCAATGACCATACACCGTAGACTGTTAATTACGTGTGTTAATTAAAAAATAATTGTTGCGTTTTGTTCTTTATGGCATATTTCTCGATTGAAATATCATTACTTTACTGTTATACTTAAAGGCTAAACCGCATCGATGAGTATAAACTTGAATTACTTTTGTATGCGCAGCGTTCGCGTAGTCGTTGCACGCCTAACACGTGCGTCTTTTTTCCCGCGCTTCAACGAGGCAAAATTTGTACATGTATATAAGGATGTACTTTTTCGTGATTTTTTTTTAATTCTTAGCCTATTCAAATAATAAAACAATTATTGACTAGTGAGCCATTGAATATGATGTGATATTCACCGGCAGAAAGTCATATTGACCTCGGCTATCGCCTCGGTCAATATGTCATCTGCCGGTGAATATCACATCATATTCAATGGCTCACTAGTCAATAATTGTATAATATAGTTCAGCAAATGTGTTAGGTATACCGAAAAGCAAACTATAAAGAAAGGCTAAATGTACGTTATTGTACTCATTAATATCGGCGAAACACAAACTTCAACGCCAGAACAGTAGCCAGTTCGTTTTTCTTACAAATAATCGGGAATATATGTTATGAGGGTCCTTACAGCCGTATGTGCTAATTTTATTCTATTAATTTGATCAAATGTACTTTAAAATATATATCGACCCTTTTTCCAATTCAAAGTGGTCATTATTCCCCCTCCCCCCTATAAATTTGCACAATTCAGCGTTTTTTTCAAAATTTCTGCGTTTACGGTGAATATTGTGTAATGCACGAGTTTCTCGACTTCACATATTTTCTATTGAATAGAGAACAATAGAACAACAACAGGCCGGTATATATTTGCAGACCTGTTAAGCGGTCGGTAAGTGATTTACTAGACCGCTTTTAACAAAAGAGCCGGTAGGTAATTATGAGTGACTGTATTTCTACGACCTGATTTTTAATATTTTTGTTAACTTAAATTAATTTAAAAAGAATCAGAACTTTGAAGTATGTTTTGTTAAACATAAAATCTTTTAATTATCGATATTTACAGGGGCTTTTTATTATTACGTCTGTTACCATGCTTATATAGTTAAGAACAGTCTATTTTGATGATAAGCTTGATGATCTCCCTCTTAAAATTAGTGACTTGTTTTGATTTGCTTGACTGGTTTTTTGTATTCATCGGCGGTTATTATAAATAAGTCGTTCAACTAGTTTTTGGTACAGTTTATATGACACGTTTTTCATGGAATGTTTAATTTTAAATTAAAACAAACAAACACACATATACATAAACAATCGATCAGTTAAACAAACCATTGAATATTGAACAATATTAATTGGGAACATGAATCCGTGGTTTGATGGAAAAAAGTCTGTTAAAACTTGTTAAACATAAAATAATCACAACCTAGATATGACCCAGTTATTGTAAAAATTATTAAATTATATACTACGTCACAAATTTCAAACATTACACTAAGTCTTATAGATATACAGTATTTACTACATATAAACAGCGTTAAGAAAAACCTATTACAATTTAATTTGTATAAATAAAATGAATATCGATAGTTGAAATATTACCATTTTATAAGCAAATATCCATCAACGTTATCTTAACATACAGGTAAGCATTCATTGCGCAAGCGCGATGATAAATTGATGGACAGGTGCGTAGCTTTTCATAAATATTAGTAAAGTTTGTCAATTATGAATACATTATAATGATATTCTATTAGAAATTGCCGACAATTTCAACTATCTAGGCGTAGTTTTTAATTACAATGGGTCTTTTACACTTAATAATCAATACGTAATTGGTAAAGGTTTAAAGGCAATGTCTGTTTTATTAAAGAACATCAATAAATATGAGTTAACCCCTAGCATTGCGTTGCAGCTTTTTGACTCTTTTGTCGGTTTCAGTTCTCACTATTCTAGTGCTGTTTGGGGATGTTTTTCTAAATCAAAGGATATAGAGCGATTACATCTTAAATTCTGTAAATCTATATTAGGAAGTGAAACAAGTACTTGTACTGCAGCAAATCTATAGCGAATTAGGTCGTTATCATTATTTATTTAAAGATATGTGCAAATTATTAATACTGGCCTTAAAATAATTAATAGCGATAATATCATTTTGAAAAACTGCTATGTACGCTTCATTTGAATAAAATGAAAAACAAACCATCAATGTTGGCTTCTAAAGTACATGGAATATTAAATGAGTACGTGGGTTTTCTGATGTTTGGAACAACCATTTCAATACGAAGCCAAATATTTTTTAAAAACTTTTTAAACAAAGGATTGATTGACTGCTTTTTGCAAAAAAACTTTTCTAGCGATATTTCAAACAGTCCATTGTTAAGTAATATATATGTACATTTGCATAACTCATTTGAAATGGCAAACTACCTGAAAAATTCTCCATAACAGAACTTATAGAAATTGCATAGCAAGATTAAGATTATCGTCACATAAACTTCGGATTGAAACAGGTAGATATGGTGCTAATAGAATACCCGAGAGGAACGCATATGTTCAGCTTTTGCGATAGTAATGAAATAGAAAGATGAATTCATTTTATATGTGTTTGTAATAGTTACTCTAATATACGTTCTCTTTACATTAAGCAATACTACTACAGAGACCAAGTATGTTCAAATTGATGGAATTATTAAGTAATGAAAAGAAGGTCTGAATTAATAGGTTTAGGTAAATATTTGTATTATGCTACAAAACATCGAATTGAACTACTAAATGCTCTGTAAATCAATGTATAAATTTGTCTCGTTGTATTTAAAAGTGATATTGTTTATTTCTTGAAAATACTTGATAATGTGTCTAGTATGAAACATTGTTAAATGGAATCTTATCACAGCATATAATTAAGTTTAAAATCCATTTTCTTTATATCTTTAAGATTGTAAACGCTTTATAATAGATAAGCTCACTTTAGTACTAAATGGTGTTAACGTTCATTCTCCAAAAATATGTAAATTAAAAATTTGTGCTACAACTTTGTTCATGTACCATGATATTGTGTTTGATTGTATTATATAAATGTGTGTAATATGACTATGTACTGAATGTATACGTCATTAAATTATCTATCTATCATATAATGTGGACAAATATTTGCAGTACATATTGTACATATTATTCGATGTTTGAAAATTGTTTTAGATGCATAATTATATAATTATATAAAATAAATTTAAATGTTCGATACCACTTTGGTATTGTTCGTGTGGTTAACGATAATCAAATTAATTTATAACCTATTTAACTATATAATTATGTAAGTTAACCTTTTACTAAATGATCAAATAAACTTTCGTTGTACTCGCTAATATTTGTTGTCATTATTTTTCTACACTGTAAGTGTAAGGTATATACTTGCATTACAACTAATTAATCATCACTGATATGTTAGTAAATTCTTTACTTCTTATGTTCATAAATTCTATACTATGTTAAATAAACATCTTTTTACAATGAATTCAATCGGACTAAATATGCGTAAAATACAATAAATACAATACGAAACAAAACAGTGTTTCTAGATGTTATTAAACATAGTATAGAATTTCTTAACATAAGAAGTATATAGAATTTACTAACACAAATGTAAAACATATTAAAACAAAAGCATCACATGTTCGCTTCTTTAAAAGGAAGCATGCAAGAGGTCTTTTTTGCAGCTGTTGAAAATTTGTTTAATTGTTGAAATGGCGGGAAAATTGAATAAATGTTATTTTTAACAGAAATCTGTCTAAACACGTTTTTGCCGAAAATGTCTTTCCTTTAGAACTCTATGCTTGTATAATAAATATAAAGTTCAAGTTAAACATGATTATAAAATATGTTATTTAAACTAGAATGATGCATATCATTATATTCTAGCAACAGTCTAAAATCTAAGCCCCTATACACAAAGAAGAAGAAAACCGGTGTCTAACTGCCAATAAACACTGGTGGTTAAGGACTACTTGTATATATGCGGCTCTTATGTTTTCTCCCTCGGTTATATAGTTTACAAAGCCGTTTAAAGCAACGATAAAGAAAGCATTTCTATTTATTTTTTTCAGTTCTGATAATGTTTTCTTTTCATACAATACCGAAATAATATCTACATACACTAACGCCACAGATTTTTATCAGTTAATTAATATTGTATATATATTGCCAATCCGTATATAAAGAATACATTTAAAATTTTGTAAAAGGTTATCAAGAGTTTCACCTAACACGTGTTATGCTTGTGTTTACGCCGAACAGGGAAGATATCCTTTATCTAGGATGAAATAGTACTGGTTAAAATTTTTACAAACTGATAACATAATCCCAATAAAGACAGTATATAATCAAGCTCTAGAAAACAGCAACAATGATCATAATTGAGTTTCAAATGTAAAAAAATGCTATTGAATTATTATGAATTTTCATTTTAGAATTAAGCCTCAAATGTGACTAACATAAAGTATGAAAATTGACCATGCCGGGTACTTGGTTTATACAAATTTATTTTTGTTCGATTGTGTTGGAAGCTATTAAGCTTATTGAAACACTCTCGAATCCGTTCCTGGAACCAACCAGTACTAAGCAATGAATGTAAAGTTTCTTGCTCAAGGAAACAACGGCTTGCCCCTGACAGGGTTTGAACACCCGCGGTCAGCAATCCTTAGATTACTAGTCCGACGCGTTAACCACTCGGCCACGCCGCCATATATGTGAGAAAATAGCTAGAATAAGTTCTATATGACCAGAGCGTTAATCATGATTATGTTACAAATTTAAATTAATATATTTAAAGGCCTCAACAGACGGTGACATTAGGTTTTAGCTGTACATCATTAATTTAAAGATAAGCTATATAATTTACCTAGCAATATAATAAGTTAACACGACCAAAACTCGCAATAATTTTTAAGGAGCAATTAATTGCATTTAAGACTAAATGATAATGTAGAGTCTAGTGTAAATATGTTTTTTATTGATAAAATTGTCCCATTTCCTGTTTGCTGAAGTGTATACTTTAACTGACTAAAGATAAACTAGGATAATCTTCAGGTATAGGTCTGAATAGACAACATGGCAAGTAATGAACTGCATTTTATTATGTGGTTAATTATCGTCGCATGTGGCTGTATCTATATTGCGTCACACCATGTGGCTGTATCTATATTGCGTCACACCATGTGGCTGTATCTATATTGCGTCACACCATGTGGCTGTATCTATATTGCGTCACACCATGTGGCTGTATCTACACCAGTTTAGTACATTTGTTTTTATAAGTTCGTAAGACTTAATGGTAAGAATGCATTAAAATTAAACATGTATTTTGTTTACCATTTAAAGTGTTTACAGTAAAAATATTTAATGAAATATGTAATAAAAGATTAAAAATAAAATAATGTTGTTTTCATGACCTCATGATCTTTTATTGAAAGATTTGTAGCATAAAACGTCTCTGTTTACAATCATAAATACACGAAAACTTTACGATTTAATATTCCTTTGCTATTTCTAGTAGGTTTGTAGATGATGTAAGTCCCACTTGCTTTCAATAATATATAGTGAAAAGTTGTTTTGTTTTTTTTGTTGTTTTTTTTGTTCATTCTCGGTATTTTGTAATGATTCTCATCACAATTTAAACAATATTTTTACAATCCGCAGCACATATATGTAGCTTTAATGATACATATATTGTTAATAAGGCAATGAACTGGTAACTTCTTTACTAAAAATTTTAAGTCAAACCTCATTTCGGTCACGTTTTTTGTTTGTTAATTTTTTTTGTTGTTTTCAAACAAAACACCAGTGGTGGTTGGTACAAGCTAATTTAATTATTCACCTTGACTTTAAAATGTGAAACTGTTATTTATATATTTGTTGCCTAATGATCACATTCCATCTATACACATGATTTCAAGCCTCCTTATAAAGCCAAAAGGTCAAAATCATCGCGGGGACATGAATATGCACTTAATGTTAAAAACAGTAACTGTCACTAGAGTATCAATGACTTTTCTTTTGTGAATATGATCAAAACTGTGGTCAATAGCTTGCATGGATTATTTTGACTATAAAATCAACAAACATTGTTCAGCGTTAAGTATTTTATCATCATAAAATGTTTACTTCCGGGTGGTATACCTATTTTTGGAAGTTATCTTGCCTCGCCGTAAAATACCTTGATAATGAGTACATGTTAACCGTGACTCACCAGATGTTATTTTATTTCAATGTGGAAGTTATACATTTGTTGAAACTTTGGTGATAATGTTAGACATCTTTATTAATAAACGTCAATGCTAATTTATAAACTGTACTAAAATTATCAGTAAAGACGAAACAATTTAATAAGGTGTATACGGTCTAGTGAAGGTATTGATTTTATTATTGATAATGACTGAATGAAAATATACATTTGCTATCTGGACGGTTAGGTAGTTCATTCTAGGACACCCCGGATAAAATATGGATAACTCCACCCGGCCTGGTGATGAAGACCTTTTAGAGAAAATAAATCGAGAGGAGGTGTTGAGACAAGTTCCGCTGATAACATTTCTGATTATCTTGGCAATCATCGGAACGTTGGGTAACTTATTAGTGTGTTATGTCTACACGAAAAAATACTCCGCGTCTAATTGTCGTACTTTTATTATAGTTTTATCTGCTGTTGACGTGTTTGTATGTGCGGTGATAATACCGTTTGAGATAATGGTACTTATGAGAGAATACAACTTTAAACATGCGTGGATTTGTAAAGTTTCCGTATTCCTGAACACGTGGTTGACGTTAACAGCCGGGTGTTTACTATTAGCCATCGCGATAGACCGGTACAGGAAGGTGTGTCGACCATTTTCATGGCAGATAACTCATGTTGCCGCAAGAAACATGTGCATAATGGCAGGACTGCTGGGTCTTGCCTTTTCTTGGATTTCACCAGTGATTTATGGCGCACAAAAATCAACACATAGTGTTTATAATATCACAATCTCGCAGTGCACTGAAACTTATGCAATGCAATTAACCGTATGGCCGCTAATAAACAACATATCTTTCGCTGTTTTGTTCATTGGAGCTCTAACAGGGATTGTTGTTATGTACTGCTTTATTGCTATAAGAGTTAGACAACATATTGAAAGGAAAAGCATGTTTCTGCCCAATCGACAAACATACATAGTTAACGATGCGGAGGTAAGCGAAATGACAATCATGTCCGGTAAAGTAGCTGTCCGAAGAAAGGCAAAGTTAGTTGAAGACGACACAAGCGATGGTCTGTTTCGAAGCAGTGATTCTCTTGACCGGAAGGGTGTGAACGAAACATCTGAACCAGAGAAAACGTCATTGGTTTTGTGTTCAGTTGATCGTGTTAAAAGTGAGAACCGGTCGGTAAACCGGAAATCAGTTATAAGCCGGATGTTGTCTTTTGGCAGACATTCACTGTCTTTGACAAAATCATTATCCACATCAACAACTAATTCTGTGAGACAAAACATTCGAATAGACCCAGAAGCTCAAAGGCAAAAGCAAAGAACTGCGTATATAATGTTTTTAATTTCGCTTGCATTTATTATCAGTTACCTGCCCTTGATTTGTCTTTTATTAATACGCGTCTCAGACAGCACATTTGTGCCTTCATTGAATGACACAGAGAGGGCTGTTTACAAGTTTTGCTTAAGATCATACTATATAAACTGTGTTGTTAATCCCTTTATATATGGATTATGGGATTCGATATTCCGGAAGTCGTGCAGAAATATCGTCTGCAAAGGAATATGTAAATAGTTCCATAAATTAAACCGATAAATGAATAAATGAGTTAAACACTATTAAAAGGCTTCGTCGCATATGTGTATTTATTTGCATTTCATATTTCTATATGTACATGTACATAAAATAATGTAATTAAATTAGTTTAAACCCCAATGAGCTATTACAAGAAACTGTAGAAAGTTAAGGTATCTGAGTACCGATATTGTAAAAGCGTACTTTTAGTTAAGAAATTTCAAAACGTTCTGGTGTAAAACATATTTAAATATTTCGAATTTTCACAACAATATCTTTATTTATGTTTTATTGAACAATGATTAAGTCTGATGAACATCAATACAACATTTATATCGCATAGTCTTTATTAAGGCCATTTTGACGTATTAGTTTTTAGAACTAAGAACTTTATATCTTAGAGGCTCAGTATAACCACGGACTTTAACTGACATGTATACAATAGGTCGGTGATATTACGGAAGGCGGTAAGCCGATTGGCACCATGTTCTCAATGACAGTTTAGTTTTTTTCGCGGTCAAAGTCACTCATGGCCATAGCAGACTTTCGTACTTGCATACATGTAGATCATTTATCCATATTACGAAACATTTTTACGTATGGATAGGCTACATTGTTTGAGTTTGTTAGTGATGCAGAATCAGCGAGAAAGTAAATTATCATTCATCATGAAGAGAGTTAACATACCAACACATCAAAAAAAATAATAATATAAAAAATATAACATAACTCAACATTATCTCATTATCGGGATATTTCTGTAAAATGATCGCCTCGGTCTAACGGCCTCATCATTTGTGTTAGCAAACTCATCCCTCGATGTCGCCCCAGTTAATGTTATAATCCGTAACTAACTCATTTCATATTCTATAATAACTATTACTTATCAATGAAAGAAACAACAAGCATTCCATGCATCATGTGTGTACATTTTTCTACGTAGGGTTGATTGAAATTTATTCATTTCTAAAGATTTCTTGACAGCAACATTAACCTTTTAATGACACTATGTCAATCCACGGGTAAATAGTGAGTGAACTGGGGATAGTCATAATAAGATTACATTTTGTGATAATTTCTTTCAATTTTAAAATTTAGTTCGCATGGACGATAGATAACTCACGCGGTCCTAAGAAATTGCTGTAAATATCCTTTGAAATTGACCTTTAACATTCAATTTATATATAAAAAAAATAGGGGACTGTCTTTACAAATGTTAGACAGATTTATATTTTTTCCTAAACATTTTCCAATATCATCTGTTGGTCAATCAATATTATTATACTAGTTAGTAATCAGTCTTTTCAAATATTTAGTCAATTCAGCTCAACTTGACAATCATAAAAAATGAGCATACGAAATATCGTATTTCATTAATGCAGTTTATTAGAAGAGAGACAACCCTGGTATGTCATTATGTTCATATTGAATACTAGTCATCTCCCTTTACAAGTTATGGTTATGTTTTTTTAGTTTATTTTAGTTTAAATACTTAAAAACCCACCCTTTCCCTCCCGGAATATTTTCCTTCTGCTTTTGTTGTGCTTTCTTATTTCTAATTTCAGCTTTATTTAAAAGGGATGTCATCAATAGTTCTCAAAAGAATCGTCATGGCTGGATTTCATTATGCGTTTATACTTACAATTTTGAGACAAGTGCCTAAAGACTTGTTGATGAAAATGTTTTCTTTCTCTTTATCGCATTTATTATTGTATTATTTTTACGAGATCTGCATAAGTGTAATAGTTTTTGATATAATGGTGGTTATTATTATTACATTGTTATACATTGGTTATAAGCACATTTACATTACATATTACACTTCATTGTACGTTTTTCTTTTAAGGAATATTTTGCTTAGGCAGAACGTTTTTATTGAGTTGTATGTATTCTATATGTTAATTGGCATATCTGAGCACGGTCCGTTGTTTCTATATTCCGAGGAATAGTCTGAGGAGGTTTCCTCCAACGGATTCTACGGTTCCTTTTAAAATTATAAAAGAAAAATGGGTTTTACGTAGGCGGCAAGTATTCCTAAGACGAATATACGATCGAACCTGTTAGAGTAATTGTTCTAGTTTGAAATGTCCTGGACATTGTATGGCAGTTTTGATCGTGATATGCTTGTTAAATGTATATCCTTTTTTCAGATTTAAAAAACTAATGGCAGTATCTCTCTTTTCAAAATGTAACTTTAAGTTAAATTTATTGAATATATCTATAAAACATAATCTTTTAGCTTCTGTTATCCAGAGTTTATCATATCTTGCATTTGTCAGCACGTTGTCTCTTTTTCAAAATATAATTTTAATTGATTATATCTGAATAAACATATTAAAGCAGCACGCCCCCAAATTCATGGTAATTTTCATGAAAATTTGAAAATTTATCAGAATGATTAATATTGTGAAGTAAACAAAAGGAAGCAATTTACATATTTTCAATGTCACTTACAACCAACGTAAATTACTAAAACGTGGTCAAAATATGTATAAATAGCCCTTACTGCGTTAGTAACGCAGTAGAAATATAGTTGTAAATGCTGAAAAATCAGTCATTAATTGCACAGAACATGTAAAATATTACTTGAATCTTGAATCTTTTTACATATCATAAAATTTTAGTACATTTTTATCAAGTTTGATTTTATTGAAATATTTTGACTCATCTGGAGGCATGCAGCTTTAAGCTTCCGATATCCGGAGCAATTCAAGTCACTTACGACTGTCCGGAGTAAAATCAGCCATATGGGCTTTAGTCATATAATATTATAATTTATATACATGTAATTGACAATCTTATACTACATGTATTATTATACAGCCATAGACAAAAAACTGCCAAACCTAAGTAACCGCAGTAAAACGCTATCAATCTAAGAGAGTTGTTTTTTATTGTTCCCTTTGCTAATAATGTCACTTAAATTTTAATTGTTGTTGTTGTTGTTGTTTTTTTCTTCATGTTCAGACGATATTGAAACCATCGAATGCGAGGGATCAGGGGGCAGTACCTGAAGTGGATGCACACTTGATTCTATTGAGCCAAATGATTGCTGCACACTTGATTCTATTGAGCCAAATGATTGCAAACTTGACAAAATTGCAACCTTAATTAAACACGTACAGATATAAATGAATAAGGAAAACAGGCCAGAAAATTCACTTACACTTATCATTTACAAATTAACCTTAAAGTTAAAGAATATCCTTATTATTGTACACTTTATTTTAAAACTATCCTTTACATTTTGTTATATAATGGCAAAACCTATCCCTTACATTCTATTTTAAACATTTCCTTAAAATTTTATTTTAGAATGGTAAGAACTATCCTTTACATTTTATTTTAGAATGGTAAATGAGATTCACCGATTTAAGTGTGTAATTTTAAAATGACCAATGAAAATTCTTCTGTATTATATTCAGTCCTTCTGTGTTAATTTTACAAGAAGTCAATTCTTCGTCCGAAAAATAAAAATAACATACAAACCCACTTACAAGGACAAGATTAGTGCGGTTGTTATAAATTTTCATGTAGGTAGCCATTTTGTCAAGTTTCAACCATTTTTCTCGCTTGTAAACACTTCATGTCCTGACTGTTGAGGAAAATATCAACAGACTAAGAGATTAGATACGTTGATACACAATGAACGTTTGCATTATTTTATTATATTAATGAATATGATTAACTTGGTACAATGTGTTAATGAGTTAAACATGAAATAATTTTCTATATATGTGTTGCTTTCTTTATTTTAAAACACACTGTGCAATATTGGTTGTAAGTTTTAAGTCCTTAAAGCAGCACTCCTCCAGATTCATGCTAATTTTCATGAAAATTTTGAAAATGTGTTATTAAGTATTATTTAGTGAAATAACCAAAAGGAAGCAATTTACACATTATCAATGGCACTTGCAACCCGCGTAAATTACTAAAAAGAGGACGAAATATGCAAAAATAGCCCTTACTGCGTTAGTAACGCAGTAGATATATAGTTATAAATACTGAAAATCAGTCATTTATGGCACATTAAATGTAAATTATCACTTAAATCTTGAATATTTTTACTTTTCCCAACATCTTAGTACATATCTCTCAAGTTAGATTTTATTGAAATATTTTCGCTCATCTGGAGGCATGCAGCTTTAAGAACATCTTGCGTCACAGACTATCTGCAACAAAAGTACTCAAGACTGTTATAAGCTGTGAAACATGGTTTATTGCAATACTCTTAAATAGCAAAAACGGCTTAAATCAAATTTTGTTGTTACTCTCACCGAGCAATAAAAATGTATATATTTATACAGTAAAAGATTATTGTGTGTCTTTTTGGGGTTGTTTTTAACACTTTAATTTCCGAGAAACGTACTTTTCTACTTTTGAACTCGCATTTGAATTTTCATATGGTCTTCTTTAATTGTAACTAAGAATGATAATATCTGTCATATGTAAAGTGGCAAGTATCGGTGCCGCCGAGGGACGGATATTCCTATGTGAAGCGCAAACATATGTCAGCTTTTTTTTTCTTGCATGTTCTCTAAAATATTCTATCACATTATTCTTCACATGACTGATAAAGCGCCCGGTCACGTGACGCATGAACAAAAATTAATTTCTTTCGAATGTTCATCTGCATACAAGTACGTGTTTGATTAACTATCTTAAAAGGACTCCGCTGAGGTTTAAAAGCCTAAAAACATAACATTTGAATTTCTGACATAAATGAGCTGGGGGCACTTTAAACAGAAATATATGCAAAGATAATTTAGTAATATAATTCAAAGTAAATTGAAAATCGTATTTGTATGCTTTTCTTAGCCCGATTTGAGTGAAAGGCGTTTAAACGCTTTCTATTTAGGTTATTTTTTTACAATTTGAATAATTATTTTGGAAAAATGAAGTGCGCGAATGATATGAAATTTTGCATAAAGATTAGTGGTCTAAACCTACATCAAATGGAACGTTTATCTCTAAAAAATATTTTCAGTCCCATCATGTCAAAAAAAAACTCAGTGGACTCCCTTTAATATTGACATATTTTTTACCTTTTCACTTATAAAACTGTGATGTCATGGACATAGCAAATTTCATTTCTTTTCTTAATTCATCGGCTCTTTCTAGGTGGTGTGATAGCTCAGTTTGTAGGTGGCGCGATAGCTCAGTTGGTTAGACCACTGACTGTCACTCCTTATCTTCCGGGTTCGATCCTAGGTAACACCCTTGAGATTTTTCAGAAAAACCTACATAAAGGCACAGGCGCTAGTCACATAATCAAATATTTTACATAATCGGTCTATATATGTATATAAAGATATAAGGCCCCCAACGAAACAAAAACATCATGCAGAACAAACAAGAACACTGCTGCAATAAACGACCAGATCACGGTTATCTCTTTCTGGTCGCCATCTGAAAGGATCAATCCAAGTGCCAACGCTTTTTATTTCATTAAAATCCCTCAAATAGCAAAGAAATTGGGAAAAGTTTCGCAAAATGCCATTATTTTCAATTCATGCCGTTTTCGACGTCCAGTCCATTCATGTATACAAACACGATTTCTGATCGATTTTTACGGAAAAAAACAAAACACTGCTAGAATTTCCACGTACGTTCCATAAACAAACTCTTTTCCTATCGATCTGCGAAGTCTTCACTGATCAAATGCCCTCTTCGTACGTACTTCATTAAAAATACACAAGGATCTCGCTTGTGACAGTATTTTATCGCCATGTATAGCGCATGTATATACTGTTCCGCTCTGAATATTATATAAGGATTTGATTGGTTAAGATAATTACCGGAATACTATTGACCAATCGTATAATACTATTTCTTTGCTTCATTTATCTGTCACTTCAAATTACAAATGGCGCACTTTACTTGACCTCCGCTTCTACAACCAATATTTTTTAAATATTTGAGTACAAAGAGGGCTCAGTTCAATTTAGACTTCGCAGATTGATAGAAAAAGAGTTTGTTTATGAATTTTATGAGGAAATTTAAAAAAAATAGATGTTTTCTATTTATTTCGTAGAAATCGACCAGAAATCGTGTTTGTATACATGAATAGATTGGACGTCGAAAACGACATGGATTGAAAATATTGGCATTTTCTGAAACTTTTACTCATTTCTTTGCTATTTGAAGAATTTTAATGAAATAAAAAGCTTTAACGCTTGGATTGATCCTTTCAGATGGCGACCAGAAAGAGATAACCGTGATCTGGTCGTTTCTTTCAGCATTGTTCTTGTTTGTTCCGCATGATGTTTTTGTTTCGTTGGGGGCCTTATATCTTTATATACATATATAGACCGATTATGTAAAATATTTGATTATGTGACTAGCGCCTGTGCATAAAGGTAAACTGGTACGAAACCCAGGTAATCCTCGCATGTATCAGTGCTATACACTGGGCATGTAAAAGAACCAAGGGATCTATTAAATATAGGCTCGGGAATGGTTCCAGGATTCCCTTGTATCTGATAGCTGTCTCTAGTGTCTGCTGAGGTGAGGACCTTATTGAAATTAAGTGCGGAGGTAAGAACCTTATTGGAAATAATTGCTTGAACATTGACAGCCCGGTCAAAAGAAAATCTTCATCATCATCTTCTTAAAATGCTTTCACTCATAAAAATAATTATAAAAGTGACAGCACGGACGTGCAAATTTATTTTACTTAAGATTTATTTTTAGTTCCTAAACTTTATATTGCTGATTGAATTTTAAGCACATATGTTAATAAATGACGTTGTGCACGTTGTATACGCACGAAAGGTGGAACAGTCATATAACAGTTAATAGTTTAAAGTGTTTCCTTGTAAAGAATTTCTTTGAAACTCAAACATATTGTCAGAGCTAACTCACGTAGACATGATGTTTGGTTAACCACAAATAATGAAACATTTTAAATAGACTATAACTTGGCATCTTGCCCAGAAAAACTAACTTATATGTCTTTTTATAGTAACATAAGTCACATTTTGTAGCCGTTTTTAGTACTATCATTGAAATATATCCTGAGGAAGGTATTGAATGACCGAATGAATAAACCAGTTTACAAAACATCCCGATGTTTGACGTGTGTTCTCTCCTCTTGATTTACTAAATTTTGTGTATGTTTAATGACTTAAGGATTTATGAAAACATTGGATCCACCTAAAATATGAATAAATCGCTTACTGTAGAACAGCTGAATTCGGAGGAAGTGGGGAGGCAAGGGCCATTGCTAGTTTTCCTCGGAATGGTCGTTAGTACGGGAATTCCAGGAAATATAACCGTGTGTGTAGTTTACTGGGCGAAATCTGTTTCGAGATTTATCATCTGGTGGCTTGCAGTTATTGATACCATTAGTTGTTTTGGGATACCTTTAGAAATTGTGAGCGTTGTTAAGCAGTATACCTACACCAACATGTGGTTATGTAAATTCACAATTTTCCTCACAATTTGGCCGATTATCACGTCTGCTTTTGCATTGTGTTTAATAAGTTTCGATCGTTTTCAAAGGGTATGCACACCTCATCAGATTCAAATAAGCCAGCAGAAGGCAAAGTGTATGTGCTTATCAACTGTTGCTATTGCTTTAGCAATTTCATTGCCGTCGCTTATTCTGTTTGGAACGTATACGGAGGAAATTTCAGACCACAACTTAACCAGTAGCTCGTGCGCCATTCAAAACGAGTATCAAGGCACCAATTACGCCCTTTGTTACCACATTTTCATATAGATATTATTCCTTTTTGTTTTAATCTTTCTAAGCGTGTGTTACACCATGATTGGCAGGAAAATATACAAGCAGATGGGACTGCTGCGTCCCTCAATGACGTCGAATAATGACGTCTGCACGAACACGAGCTTTACTGTTTTGAAAACAAGTCAAAACGTGTGTAAGGAAA